GTCCTGTGTCGCGGACGCCAGATTAATTGTCACACAGGTCCCGTTAATTGGGGAGGCGATCGCCGGGCTAATTCCAAGGGCCGAAGTATCGGCCCCCCGAACCGCACCACGAAAGCGTGGACGATTTAGAAGTGGTCCTTTTTGGCGCGCCAGCGGACGCCGGCTGTGGCCCAAAGAACAAGTCAGAGCCGAGAGTTGATAAAAAAACAAAATTATATTCTCAATAATGGCAGATCGAAAACAATACACAAGAATGCACATTCCACAATAGTTGCATACAATATGTCACCAATCAGACAACGTACTACACAGTACAATCAGCCACACTCGAAACAACGGACACAGACAACAATACGCACTACAATGCAGTCGCATGCATTGAACAACCAAGACACTTAAAGACTAAAGAGACAGGAAACCTATTCAGTCCAAAGTTCTTGGAACAAAAGTCTGGATGATACTCCTCCGAGAATCACTCACTCAAAGTCCAGCGTTGTTGTCGTTCCGCTGCCCTCGAAGTTTCTCTTCCAGGAAACCTCACGTCTTCAATAGGCCACTCTCCAAGCTTCAAACTTCTTCGCCGGAAACACGTCGGCTTCACACACGCAGCCGTTGCCACGCGTCTTCGCTCGATAGCGGTAAACACACACTCTTGCCTGAAGCTCGAGTCGTCACCCCTCAGGTGGAAATCCTCTTCATCTCCTGCTTTGTCTCCACGGACAAAACCTTCGCCGACTACACGGCGGAATCCCTACGCGCTCGGGCGCTAACTTCCGTCTTCTCCTGATCTCTCATCTCCGCTGCTCGGTTAAATACCTTCCGCGCGACATTCCAGAAGGTTCTCGTCATTTCGTCGGCGCGATACGCAGCGAAGGCTGGGGAGAGGGCGAGGCGGTTCGAATGCGCTCCGCGTCGGATGTCTCAACTCGGCATGACCACGCCTCTTTCGTTCTAGAAATTTCGAGGACTTGCTCGGCCGCTGATGTGGGGAAAGGAGGTTTGTTGGCGAAGCCACGCTTCCGAGGGGAGAGCGCGCGTCCGGGGAGCCTTGGATGTTTGTTTTCTTTTTTTTCTTTTGACCTCCCGGCGTCTCTCCCGCGCGTTATCGCAAGAATTTGGCGGCGCGCCCATTTTTAGCGCTCGTTCTGTGACACGCGCATTATGCATATACTGTGAAGTATATATATATCCAGCAGAAGTTCATACACGATTGTACGTGTTTATATTTTTGCTCACACACAATGAATGGAGCTCGACAGGTGGCGCACCATTGATAATTAGGACCACTTTCTTCAAGTAGTGTGTAATCAGTACATGCTGATATCTATTAGTGCAGTCTAAAAGAATACTGGCACCCCTGCTATGGGCACTCAACACCCTTGTGCACCTTTCTCGCACCCTCCTCAAAGGGTGCTAAAAAAGTGATGCACATCGAAGGCACCCTTTCTTAAGGGTGTTTTTGTAACACCCTACAGTTTTTTCACATGTACACTCTATTTTAAGGGTGCATGGAAAAGCACCCTTTTTGGAAGGTGCTGAATTCATACCCTTAGGTTGTCGTCCACGGGACAAGCTCATTTACACCCTTCAGGTTGTAAAAAGTTTTACTGTGTGTGTTGGGAGTCGTCGAAAACACGTTGCGTGTTCCCGTGAAGAGTTTGGTTGTAGTATGTTACGCGCTGTAAGTGCACCAGCACTGGCTGGCGGGGCTTTCGCTAGCGTCTGAACTCACTGAAAATTGGTCACCGTTAGAGTTAGCTTCCACGTCAGTCGGTCACAAGCAGCTCGGCGCTGCCCGTTGGCCATGGCAGTGGACTCGCGTTTGCGCGCTGCACTCGCTCGAGTTTGTGGAAAAGGGCCGCATTTCCGTCGATTTCTTCGGCGCTAGCTCCGAACCAGCTCGGCGTTGTTCGTGGCGGCGGCCAAGCGTATGCTCGCTCTCCTGTTCGAAGTTCGCTGGCGGCAGACACCGCGAGCTGTGCCGTGTTTGGTCTCGCGTTCGCTTGCTCGAGTTGAACGACGTCGCTCGCTTAAGACTCGCCGACTTGTTAGCGGCACGGTGGTTCGCGGAGTTGTGACTGCGGCCGCCGCTCCTAAGCTGTTGCGCTACGGAGATCGAAATGAGTCTTTGACGATGTGTGACATCACGGTGAAATTATTAGCATGCCATATCTCACATATGTTTTCATTTCATCTCTCACGTATTTTTTATAGGTATTTGTATTCATCCTGTGTCACGTGTGACTCACTATTTTACATACTTATTGTGCAGCCGTGGGCACACACCGTGCTGAAGACTGTGTGCTGGCGTCTGCGATGCCCGCCATCCATCTCTTTAGTCAGAGCAGCTTCAGAATGGCTGTGCGAGATTTGAAGGTAAATTTATTTGGGTGTCATATTTAACGCTTGTTTTATGTTACGTGCACGTACTTGTCATATGCGTGAATCTTCATCTTCTGTGACGTGTGCCTAAATATTTTTACTGTAATGTTGCACGTGCAGCCATGGCAACACAACAGGCAGAAGGCTGCGTGCGCTGGCGTCTGCAATGCCTGTCGTTTATCGCTTCCGTCTCAGGAGCTCCCCAAGGAGTGAACAAGATTTGACAACGAGACTGGGCTTGTACACTTCACCATGAATTCACTTAAAAGAATAGAGAAACTTCATATGTATGCAGAAAAATAAAAGATTTTGATGTCTCACGTTTGTCTTTCGTTGTTGCCGTGACTGCGAAAGCAGTTACACATAGGTGGCTAACTACTTTTTCGTGAGTTCTTTTCTGCGGAATTTGTTGCTCACTGCGCAGAAAAACAGGTGAAGAAGTATTAGGCCTGGCGGAAAATAAACAAAAAACAATGTTTCAACTGGGGACAAAAAGTTCATCCTATTGGAGTATTCGAGTGGATCAACCGTTCGTCCGGCAAGGTGCAACAGTGAGGACTAACGGTTGCCCAGTGAGGTGTATATGTGAGAATTAACAGTTGCTCTATAGTGTGCAACCGTGAGGACTAAATGTTAGTCCTCTGGGGTGAACTGTAGGGCTAACGGTTACTCACTAAGGTGTAAATGTGAGGACTAAACGTTAGTCACTTGAGGGGACTAATTGTCAGACCTGGTGCCGTTAGTCCTTAAAAGAAAAAATGGTTGTTGCAGCCCCATTAGCCCCAAAAGGATGAACCACACACCCTTTTAACACCCTTTTGTCTTAAAGTGGAGCACGTAACGTTGACGCGCGCGCATTCTGTGCGCAGCGACGCTACGCTAGCAAAACGCGAGCGCGACCATCGCCTGTCGGCGAGGCCAGGCGGCAACCGGCGCCAGGTGCGACATGCTGCATTACGCGCCGATGACGTTACCCAGACAGCACCGCGTCTGCCTAGCACCGCGTCTGCCTAGCTGCCTAACACCGGGCGCGCTCAAATGCGTATGCGTCAAAGCAACGCATCGCGGCGGGAACGGCGCTTGGCATGACATTGCCGGCGTGACGCGACAAAACGAACCCCGGCGCTCACGCGAGCCTGGTCAAGTCAAAGTGTATTGGCGCCTAGAGTGTGGCATGTAGTCACGTTCTTACAAGACACGCATCTCGTGATTATCATGACTGAACCAGTCACATACCTTCGTCATTCATGCACATGACATAATACCAAATTTGGCATATTTGAAGCTAACAGTACGGCCACGAGCGCATCGTGAGTGTGGCATGTAGTCATGTGTTTACATGAAACCAATATCATGATTCTCATTTGGACGTGTCATTTACATATGTCATTCGTTAATACCGAATTCGCTACATGTAAAGTTAGCGAAATGGCTGCGAGCGCATAATGACCGTAGCATGTAGTCATGTTGTTACATGATACGCATCTCATGACTATCATGTCTGCACCAGTCATATATCTTTGTCATGCATTCACGTCCCGTGACACCAAGTCTCGTATACGTGAATCTAGCGAAATGACTGCGAGCGTACCATGAGCGTGGCACGTAATCATGACCCATGACTTACATGACATGCATGTCATAATTTCCCCGTTATTGTCTTTCACTTGTATTCAGCATGCAGTCATGTCATACTATCCCAATGTTTCAACATTTCATGTGAACAAAACCACCACAAGAGCAGCAAGACCATGGAATGTAAATCATGACATTTATAATACACATGTCATGATAGTCATGGCATGACTAGTCAATTATGCTCGTCATACAATCATGTTATGCCATACCAAATTTGGTTATTGATACCATTAACGAAACGGCCAGTAGAGCTAATTGTCGTCGGTGACTAAATAGCTATATAGATAGATAGATAGATAGATAAATAGATAGATAGATAGATAGATAGATAGATAGATAGATACGCTCAAAGTCACCGAAGTTCTCTAAGAAATGCTCGCATTTATTATGTTGTTGCAATATTGGTGCACGACTGCCTGCAACACTTTCTTGTTAAAAAGTATGACTGAAGACAAACTTGACTAACTCACTCCCAACAAATCAAAGCAGAATAATGGTGAAAACATATGACAGCGCTGGAATGCTTTGCACCCTACTCTGTGTATTGAAGGAGGTCATGACTACAGCGAAAGCCTGACAGTCCTCTTACGAGAAGTGAAGTCAGCGGCCCAGCACGTTCCAGCCCTTCATGCGGAAGAACTTTGACCGAGGAGCCAGCGTGTGCGACGGAAAGAAATGTTGAGATTAGAGGCCACTGGCTTGTCATAAAGGAAGTGCATAGATATATCACACATGAAAGATAACCTGTGGTTATTTACAGCAATTAACTGAATTCCAAAGAACACAAAAGCGTGAGGGGGAGACAGAAAGCTATGGGAATCTGACGACAATAAGACGTTTCGGCGTAGAACAATGCAGCGACAATCGCACGACCGGTTTGATTGGTAGTATATCAGAGGCATCTTCCCAGCAGTAGACACAGTCGTGTGGCTGCTGATGATTATTAATATTATCTAACATTAAATACTAGCTTTACTTACCTTGTAGGTCAAGAGAGTAGGAAATTCGATTGGAAAACATAGCCCTGTGTGATCCCAGTATGACGTAGCCATCCATCTTTGTGCGGTCCAGCTTGAATGCTTCGCCTGTCTCTGAAGATGAGTTGCCGATGAAGACGCCAATTTTGCGCTTCCGCAATGTCTCTGGGTCGTAACCAGCATCTAAGATGGCCTCGTATGACGTCTCCAGTAGCAATCGCAACTGTGGGTCCATCACGTGAGCTTGCTTTGGATGTGTACTGAAGAATTGTGCGTCGAAGCGGGACAGGTCTTTTATCTTTCCGTGGACTCTCGGCATGTCATTGTATCCTGCGTAATTAAAGCAAAGTGTGTACTACATTAACAGTAACTCGCTACCTAATGCCACAACGCGTACACAAGCAACTCCCACATTTTTATTTGGAATTTCCCATAATATTGATCGACCAGCTCATGCTTGTTCGTAATCTTCTGGGTAGGGTAAAATTTTAATTCTGTTTCACCCATCATATAATAATGATGTAATGATGCTAGCCAGAATGAAAAACAAAGTATTGTATTGCGACACTCGACTACACCATGCTTGATAAAGTGGTGCAATACGAGTTTGATACAAAATACAAGGCAAAACGCCAACAGCCTTTAGTAGATCATCGCTCGTTGCTTTATGCCTTTTAGTTCCGCTTGCTTGGGTGACAGTTTTACTCATTTCGCTGCATGATCTAAGCCATCGCTACATTGGAGTGACAAAGCCCTACAGCAAAGATATTCACTTCTTGGGGATAAACTAATATTTTCCAAGATGGGTAAAGACAGCTCCAACAGGAAACACGAGAAAAGCGACGAAGTTATGCATTCAAATAACTGATCAGTAGGCACCACAAAAAAAAAAAAACGGCAGATCTCAAGTCCCTGGGAATCGAGGTTATGCGAAGCATGCGTAGGGAAGGTGACCAAGTCGCATTTTTTGTATTGAGTGACACACCATGAAGTCACACTAAATATATATAAAATCATTACACGCACTGACATATGTGGAAGAGTTGCAGATGTTTATATACCCAGTTGTTTGCATTTGCGCAGCGATGCCAACCGGAACATGTGTGTTAGAAAAAGAGAAGCTGGTATAAAGCGCTGATTCTCCGAGGTTGCTGGCCCTGGACACTGCTACTTAAATCAACTTCAATGCATATCAACTAACCACAATTGACGTTAATCCGACGTGATGGCTGTATCAAAGGAGTACATATGCAATATTTATAAAATTGGGTAGGCAGCACTGGAATTATTATTGACATTTCACGAAGATTAGCGTCTATTCTAAAAGTAGTTCAGAGAGCCGGCGTAGCTCTGTGGTAAAATGCATCATTGCCACGCAGAATGCTTGGGTTTAATTCCAGCTGGAACCCTTAGATTTATCCTTTGCATTTGTCGGGTCGATGCTACTAATGTTGGGTACTTCCTAACGCTCGGACGTTAAACTTGACATAGACAAATTTTCGGCACCTACTCTACCAACGAACGCCCTGTAGGACATAAAATGCCTTCACGGCTAACTGAACTAGATTCAACCTACAGTGCTATGTATCTACTTATTTTAGTGAAACAGTCGGTGCATGAGTCCCCGTCCTGGTTCTCTGTATTGCCGCATAAATCCTAAAATCTCTCTGTGCGTCGAGTCATCAACCCCAGCAGCCAACCTACGGCGTCACTATTTATGGCGGATCGTATTTCGCTTGCAAATAGACGCCAGTCCGCGCTTCCCTTTCGAGCTACCAGGGCCTGCATTTTTAAAGCGATAGCGTTAGAGAGCTCGTGTCGCGGAAATTCCGCTGTACGTTTCGGCACCGTCGGTTGTGAGCGAGAACTCGTCCGTGAGTGGAAAATTGAGAAAGAAGGGGTTAAAATAGGAGTAAAACTTTCGGTCTCATTGAGGATCAAACTCGCGCCATTCGCGTGGCAAGCAGGTGTTTTACGCCATAGCTAACATGTTGCTAACAGTTGCTCAGAAAAAAAAACACTACACAAATGCCATGTAGAGGAGGAAGTCTCTTTAACGCATTTCGTTCGGCAGGTGTCACGACTTAAACGAGCCCATTGGGCGATTTGTAGGCGCACTTTGGAGGCCAATAAACTACGTGAATAAAGGCCGGCTTAGTGCAGTCATCGCCGCTGAAACACACAGAAATTTTCAAACAGCTCCAAAAATAGACGACTATGCCTATCTAGCGGAAAACACATCGTGCCTTTCCAGAGGCGTTGATCAAGCGAACAGCAAACGCTAGATAATGTGCTGTCATCTGTGAGTCATTGTGAGAATCTTTATGACCACTCCACGGCCGCCTGGATCGGGCTCTTCGGCCGCTGCGAGCACTCGATCCAGGCGACCGGGCCCTGTTAGATGGCAAGCGTAAAATCGGTCGGATGCAGATAGTGACGCCGTCCAGATGATTAGGTTTATTTTACTTTCACCTCTTACTTTCACCGGGTGCACGTTTCGCTTGTCGACTCGTTACTTTGAACGAGTTGTGAGCTTTACCGCCTTCAATTGCACTTGAGTAGAATGTTCGATGAAGTGATTGTCTGCTCATGAGTTTCTATAATAAAAAAAGATGCAAACGTCTTCACTAGCCGCGTTGCACAGAACCTCTTTCAATATTGAACAGAGGAGTTGTGGAAGTCACTTGATAAATAGAACCTAAATATACAGGTAGCTACTCGCTCAGAGACCAAAGGACAATGGAAATGAAGAATACGTAATTGACATTGCTTGTAGTCTTCAACAATGGTCTGATGTCACACAAATAGAAAGAAAATAAAGCCCCATATATGCTCAATGTCGTTAGTAACAGAACGTGCAAACTTCGGATAAAGTGTACAATACTCTGATAACTGAGCTATGGCGGCTCTCATAGGCACGTTCACTTTGCTGCGTATTTTCGTACATGTGATAATGAGAATGTCTACGAGTGCATTCGATGTAGTGATAGCGAGTATAAAACACTCTTGAAAGCTAGGTTTTTTTATGCCCAGACTCATTTTGGGGCATGAAATAATGGTAGTTCACCTCAGCTAGCTTCTTTGTTATGCGCAAACCATGGGAAGCGTTCAAGGCAAAATGCTTACCTGGCTATGTTGGCTATATCATTTCCAAAATGTATCAAAGAATCTGTGAGAACGCATGGTCACGTTATACCACGGAATGGCTTGCAAAGCTGTCCTAAAGTTTTGGAAGGTCACGCATAATCTCGCCTATAGTCCACCTGACAATGTTCAGGAGACATCACATCACGACGTCGTCGCTCAGAGAGCAAATACGTCACGCAATTATGCCCTGTTAGGACCTTATCATGCGATCATTTCCATTCAAAATCACCAACATTCCTGACGCATGACTGTAGCAGTGCCGAACGACTTTAGGAGCAGAAATCATGCTGTGCTCCCTATTCTGCAAGTATGGCGAAAAATGCGGTAGAATCAGAACACTTTCAAGGTAGTTCGCAAGGCATCAAAACAATCGGCTGGGAAGAAAAACATGGCTGATCTTAGTGTCACTGGAAATCGGAATACACAATTGCGATACGTTTTTTCGCAGAAGTAGTTGATCGTTTATTGTGAATCGATATGCATGCTACGTACCACTGGCATCACTATATCGACAAGCGGAGAAGCACGACGGAAGAATGACTGGTTCGAGCTGTTCGCACCGGCAGCACTGCTTGCCTAATCAGTTTAAATTGCACATATAGCTATTTTTCCAAGTTCCTTATTAAAGAACCCCAGGTGGTCAGGATTTCCAGAGCCCTTCACTGCTGCCTCTCTCACAATCATATGGTGGTTTTGGGACTTTCGAGCCCACTTATAATAATAATAATAATAATAATAATAATAATAATAATAATAATAATAATAATAATAATAATAATAATAATAATAATAATAATAATAATAATAACTTTCTTGAGTTCTGTTTTTCTGCGTCTGTGTTTACCGTAACAATATTATAGATTGTGCAATGCTTATAAATGGGTTGCAGCTACGGCACTAGTTCACCTTGATTCACCCATCTTGACATAGCGGCATGCCTCCATCGGTATGGCTAACTCCCGTGATCATGATATAACCGCTGTGGTAGCTCAAGCTTTTGATGTATACAGGGGCACAGCGTATCCAAAATCTGCCATATGATGACATAGACAAGCACATAGCAAATACTGATACTCGCTATGCGCTTCCACAAGGTGTCGTCAATTAGGAAGAGAAACGACACACTGTGCACTCCATAGTAATCTGGCAACCCACGCCGGTTCTTATGAACACACTACCTCACCACGCTTTATCAACATGGAAAGGCTCTAGAGATTAGTAGCTACAGCCGTTAACGTACCCAGACATTTCACGTCCCACACGAAATGATGTCGTGCTTTCGTGTTATGCCTTGCTTGACCTCTGCTTTGCTCTACCAAGGCACAACATTCACTGATCGACATTGTTGCTTTTCTGCGGCGCTAATCGCAGTAGTTTTAAAGTCGGCGCGGTTGCACTTGTGGTAGTACAGTGTGTAGAAATATACTGGCTAGTATGCTGAGCGCGGGCTAGGAGAAGACCCCGCAGGTGATGAGTGCCAGCGGCGCCCGCATGGTGCGCTGCTGTACGAGGGGGTGCATTTGCGTTCAATTCTTGCACTCCGCAAGCGCTGTGAAGCGTTCGGGATAGATTACTTTTATTCTTTTGTATTTTTGGAGTGTTCTTTACAAAATGCTTTATTGTATAAGCATCTCTCGATTGCTTTCACTGTATTGGCACTTTGCAATACCAAATGAAGATCCTTTCGTGACATAAATTTCGTCATCCATTAAAACCCACAAAAAAACAAAAAAGGCACATCCCACATAACTTGGGAACCAATTCTGTGGAGGCATGCTGATGGAAGGTGACTCTTGTAATTTTTATTAGGCGAAACTTTAAGAAGTGGCGCCTAATATATGCAAAAAGTTGAACAGCCAACACTGGAACCAGAATAGCCGTTTTACGAACATTGCTCGCTTCTTGCAAAATATATCAGAGACCTGGCGTTGCTCTGTAGTAAAATACTTGATTTCCACGCAGATCGCTTGGTTTGGATTCCTCTGCAGAGACACAAACATTCATTATTTGCATTCGTAGGGTCAACGTTGTCAACACCAACTTTTTCTTAGCGCTCATGCGTTGGGAAAAAGATGTGACGGGAAGTGTTTGATGGCATACGTGATGGGATTGTAAAATTATTCATGTCGGCACCAGCGAGTCATATTCATCAAACCATCTTATTTGTCCACACTAATTTTGGT